ATATGACATGAGATTTCAAAACTACTGGACCACTATACAATAATAATTGTCTAAATTCTGTAGCTTTCCATGGTCTCACATATTTCAATGATCGAGGCTTCCTAGCAAAGTCCTTGGATATATAAATCTTTAAGCTGCATAAAAAATTGGAAAAGTCATTAGTTTTAGCACATGGCAAACGAATTGGAAGCTCACCTTCAGTCCACAAAAGCATCAATCTCTTAACTTCTCCTAAACAAATCAAATGCATATAGTCAAGTGGTACATTAGTAACTAAATCAATGTACGGTATTTCAAGCAATCTCGTATAGCCATTGTAGTAGTCTTCATCTTCTAAGCTTCGAAAGTGTTCATCAGTTCTTGCAGGTGATCACATTTTTGGAAAGCAAATTTTGCGATTAATATTTGAACCACGAACAAGACATTTCGAGCAACTGAAGCAGCCTGCGTGTCCCTTTGTCTGCAATATAAATGATTTGGCGGGAGTATCACAAACAAAATATTTAATGCATATCTTACATTGTTTCCCATTGTGATCAAAACCCTCACAATCACGTCACACTTAATATAATTATTTCATCGACAAAATCACTTGAAAATTCATTTGAATCTTTAGGTTTCTCAAGCCCACAGCAAAGTCCAATAATAAATATATATTTGGTGAGAATTACAGAACATAAGATAGGCCAAGCTTACATGTTCGAAGAATTCGAGAAAGGCAAACCATCAACATTAATTTCTAATTCGATGATAGAAGATATCAATTTCAACCTATCAATAGAATCTTTCAATCCAGTTAATAAACCAAAATGAATATATTCACGTGGACTTACAACTTTTGATACAGCAGTCGTTTTTGTTTTCAGAAGTGTTCTACTATCTGCTGGTAAATCACTGAAACAATCATGAAGTTTTCGCCCTTTAAGTAGTGCGGATACAGCATTATGAGGTATCTAATAATTCACCGCCCAGTCTGCTAAAAATTGTCTTGTATCAAAAACTTCTGTTATATCTTCATTGGTACTATCCTCGCTATATGAAAGAGAAATATAATCATTTGTTTCAACATCACCCTGTAACTCTACCTGGTAAGAAGACGGTCCTTCAAAGTCATCTACAATAGAAGCATTAGTCGCAGTTTCAATATTATCTATTGTAAAAGCACTAGTACTAGGCAAATCAATATTATCCTTTTCGCATTCAGAGTTCTGCAAAACACTTTCCGAACGTAATTTCTGCATTTCCCAAAAAAGTCTTCTATAAAAATGTCTATCTGACACAGTCGCAATGTGTTTGCGAATTTTTTTATCAGACATATTTATTTATAGAATTGTTTTTTTGACAAATTACAGAGTCAAACAGCAAACAAATTACGAATATATTATATTCTTATATTGTTTAGAACTTTAGTAGCATAAGTATACGTATACAGTACTCAGTTTATACATGTTTATGTATGACAGTCTTGAATCATCAAACAAAGGATTGCAAATGACGCCGACAACCTAGATAAAAAAGCCGAACAACATATAAGGGCCGCCATCTGTGCGCTAGTTGCGCAAACGCCGCGCACGCGTATGCGCATGCGCGGTATATTTGAATACATTTTTCATTTGCCCATAACAACACGGTGAGTAATGGGTAAGAGTAGGTCGACCATTGTTTGACCCGGCGCGTAACGTATGGGTCTAAACCCACTGCGTCATAAATTGGCCCATAATGGGCTTATAATAACCCGGTTGGCTGTAAATGGGACCAAACAGGTTGACCATTGTTTGACCCGTGCTGTATGGGTAAGTAGAAAAAGAATTTATTTCTAATATTGTTTAATGAATATATAATGGAGACTAACAAGTATTGTTTATTAATAATGAAATACAACTTTGTGTGTAACATCCAAATAATTTTGATATTTGCAATAAGTTTTTGTCTTTGTGCATGCGGCACATGCAACAGAACAGGGTTATGTATTTCACGTTTTTAAAAAACGCATTTATTTTTGTATGATTTACTTATATATTTGTTTAAATATTTAAATTGTGTAAGTAAAGAAATGTTTTGTACGTTTTTTTTGCATAATGTCCGTAAAATTTGACAAAAACCGTAAATTTTTGCCCAGCCGCCATTTTGTACAAGAACAAGGCTGTGTATTTTTTTTTGCAAGAAAATTATTTTATAAAACAAATATTTAACATTTAATTATTGTACAAGTTCCAAAAATTTATTAGTCAACATTGTTTTTGCAAATATAACTATGTATGGTATAATAATGTTTTAAATGCACAGATTTTTTTTTACATTTCACTCCTGCCTCGACAGCTTGGTATCAAGCAGCAGTAACAAATACTAAGACTAATTTATTTATTTAATGTAATAAAAAATTTTATACGAGAGTTTTATATACATACATAATATTATAATTTAAAAATTATGAAAATGTCCAGTCAAGTTTCAATCTTTATTCATGCCTTGGACAGTTTGATGTCAAGCAGATGTAAAAAAATACCTATTTCATATAAGAATTACAAGAATTTTATATACATGCGCTAATTCAAAAAATTATCATTTCCAGTCCGAAGTTCCAAATTCGACACACGTTTTAGACAGCCTGATATCAAGCAAATAAAACAAACAGGTAACAAAAATTAAAACTAACTGATTTATTTAATACAATAAGAATTAGAATAACTTCATACACATTAACTAATGCAAAAATTATAAAAATGTTTAGTCAGAAGTTTCAAATTCAATACATGCCTAGGACAGCTTGATATCAAGCAAAAGTAAAAAAAATACCTAAATTTATTTATTTATTTAATATAAGAATTACAAGAATTGTAATTCTAAATACATGCACTAATTAAAAAAAATTATCATTTCCAGTCAGAAGTTCCAAATTCGACAAACGTTTTAGACAGCCTGATATCAAGCAGCAATAACTAATACTAAAGTTAATTTATTTATTTAACATAATAAGAATTACAATTATACGAATGCACTGATTTAAAAAATTATAAGTTATTGAGCCAGAAGTTTCACATTCGATACACGTATTAGACAGCCTGATATCAAGCAGTGGTAACAAAAATTACAACTAATTTATTTAGTTAATCTAATAAAAATTACGAGAATTTTGCAGTGAATAATGCACTGATTCAAAATATATAAAAGTTATCGAGTCAGAAGTTTCAGATTCGATACATGCCTCGGACAGCTTGATGTCAAGCAGTAGTAACAATTACTAAAACCAATTTATTTGATGTAATAAGAATTTAACTGCATAGGGACAAAATATAAAGCGCGTGAGCCCCGCGTCGCTGTCTAACGCATAAGCATTGGTACGGAACCCATAGGAATGTTAATAAAATGTATACTTATTGTTAAAATCTCTATAAAATATCTGACAATTTGATGTGCATATGTCTAATGATCATTTTTGACCGCCAAATGGCTCATTTTTTTACTTTTTCCTCCATACCTCCGAAACCGCTAGACCTACCTTCATGAAAATTTTATCGATTCTTCATCTTGTCAATACAAGTGAAATGGTTTTTGAATTATTCAAATCGGACGCTCCGTTCTCTTAAAAACTGAGTTACCGTTTTCGGCACTTTTTGCCCCGTATCTTGGGAACGGCTAGACCTGCCTTCGCCAAAAACTAATCAGCACGTCTCCTTATCAATACGAATCGAATGTTTTTTGAATTATTCAAATCGGTTGATCCGTGTTCCCGAAATCGTCGACGAAAATTTGTATCCGCACATACATACACACACGTACACACACACACACACATACATCCATTTTTTCTAAGGTATGCCAAAATGTTCAGAAACCTCTGAAACATAAAATAAATAAAAATTTTGATTTTTAACTTCCCGAAGGAGAAGTTTATGTTTTCATCAAAAAATCCGAATGGCTAATTTTATGTTTTCTCGACGTTTCAAGCCATTCTGAATCGAATGAGACCAAATTTGGAAAAAGTATGTGTGTGTGTGTGTGTGTGTGTGTGTGTGTGAACAGATTTTTTGCCGTAAATCGACGTTTTCTTCAAAACGGCTGGACCGATTTCAAAAATTTAAAAGCCATTTGATGTATCTCGATGAGGACTATCGTCTCTGAGTTTTGTGCGACGATCGGCCGGGCCGTTTCTTTGTAAATTGCAGAAAAGTGAAAATTTTTTCGCCCACGTTTTAGCCCGCAATTCTGAATCGATTCTGAAAATTCAAAAACCATTGGATAGATATTGGTTGGGAATCGTGCTGATTAGTTTTTGGTAAAGATCGGCCAAGCCGTTTTCTTGTAATAACGTTTTAAAAAAAAAATCGACGATTTTTATGATTTTTTTTTTTGACGGTAGATACCATAGGTTTCTAGGTCATACTAAAATATTACGGCTCTACGACAACTCGTTTAGCTTTAAAAATTCGTCAAAGTTTGCAAAAATTGGTATAGTTTTTTTGACATTTGTCAAAATTAGACTTTGATCGACGTTTTCTCAAAAGCGCCTGAACCGATTTCAGAAATTTAAAAGCCATTTGATGTATTTCGGTGAGGACTATCGTTTGTCAGTTTTGTGCGACGATCTGCCAAGCCGTTTCTTTGCAATTTAAAAAAAAGTGTTAAACTTTTCGTCCATATTTAAGCTCATCCTACCGAACCGATTTTAAAAAATCAAAAACTGTTCGAAAGATATTAGTTGGGAATGGTACTGATTAATTTTAGGTGAAAATCTACTGAGCCTAATGAACTGTTGAAAAAAAAATTTAAGCCTATTTTCATGGAACTTTTTTTTGGTCTTAATCATGGTCTTATAGAACTTACTGTAATATTACGGCATTACGACAAGTAGTTTAATTTTAAAAATTCGTCAAACTTTACTAAAATTATTATCGTTTTTTAAAGTAGGATTGATGAAGTATATTATTTTCTTCATAAATAAAATAGAATATCTCATATAAGATCTACACCTGCTCAAACGATTTTTGAAAAAATTTCAGATGGCTGATTCTGCTGTTAGTGTACAGGTGGCTTTAAGGATAAGGCCTTTAGTCAAATCCGAAATTTCTAAAGGATATGTTAAATGCCTCGAAACAGTGCCAAATAAACCTCAAGTTTTAATAAAAAATCTTTCTTTTACTTACAACCATGTATTTCCACCAGAAGTTTCGCAAGCTGAATTTTATGACACTGCTGTTAAGGGTTTAGTTGATGGATTGTTTAAGGGTAATTTATTTCTACTAGAATTTAATTTTGACATAACATAACTTTGGTGTAGGTGAATTTATCTCTCATCTATAATCCCAAATTCTATTTTTATCTTCAGTATCTTTACTTTATTATTTATTATTTTGTTCAATCTAAAAATATATTTTAGGCTACAATGTGACAATATTAGCTTATGGTCAGACTGGCTCCGGAAAAACTCATTCAATGGGCATGGCTTATTCAGTTGGACCAGTCGAGGAGATTGGTGTTATACCAAGAGCAGTAAAAGACATTTTTCAAAAAATTTCAACTCTGACGGAGCAATATAATTTTCAATTACAAGTTAGATCAATATAAACTACTTTCCAAATATTAAAGCAATAAATTTAAAGTGTATTGTTAAGGAGCATATGAGGTTTAAATGAGAATTAAAATTTAAAAGCCATAACCTTTTTACACTGTAATTAGAGTTTATTTGAATACCCATAAATGGTCAGAAATTAAACATGTCAGATTTTCAAAATCTTTGCATTGTGTTTGTACTTCTATATGTTTGTTGAATATAATTGTTCTGCACTCCTTAGGAGTATATGGATTGCTATTTAATATAATTTGCTTTTAGAAATCATAATAGTTTATGAAATTGTAAACATAATAATAACAGTAAGTCATTTCTTCAGTAAAGTATTTTCTCATGTTCTACAGGTATCATTTATGGAATTATATCAAGAACAATTATTTGATCTTTTATCAAAATCAAATAGAGATCAAAGTATAGTTGATATCAGAGAAGATCAACAAAAAAGAATTGTAATTCCTGGATTAACCGAAATTGAAGTACGTAATGCAAATGATACATTAGATTGTTTAGAAGTTTAGTTAGAGGATATCGTCGCAGAGCTGTAGGTGCAACTGCAATGAACAGTCAATCCAGTAGAAGTCATGCAATATTCACTATCCATATACAACAGCGAAAAATCAGCGATAAGTAAGTAATAGTCAGTAAAAGAAAAAAGCTTTACGTATTATTTTTTTGTTATTTAAAACTGGATCTAGTAATGATGAATGAAAATAATGGTTTTTGAATTGAAAATTATTTTAGTTCACCATGGTTGTCGCTTCGAAACCATACATACAAAGCATTTGTGCGAAAATTATGCGTGTGTAATGTTAGCGTTTTTTTGGATCTTCTGTTGACGTTTTCACAAAAACGATTGAACTGATTTCATAACTTCAAATGCCATTGTATGTAATTTGGTAAGGACTAGCATTGATTATAGCCCAGTCAAATTAAGTTTTCAGTTAGGAACAATTCGCATAGAGCTGAAATTTGGTACAGATGTTAAATAGGCCATTACAAATGAAATGTCAAAAGTCCCCAACGATCCGACATCTGCGATTTTTTTTATTCAAGGTCAAAGGTGCAAAAATCTAGTTTTTCCCATTTTCCGCCGAAACCATAATTTTTTTTAAAAAATTATGTTAGATAAGTTTATTTATTTTAAAATTCTCTATGAAATTGTTATTATTAATTTTTTTGTTAGTATCACCGTTTCTGAGATATTGCATATATATCCAACTTAGGTTATAGGAAATTTTGAAAAGTAAATTTGAAATATAAATATATAATTTTTATAAATTTCTAAAAATTTTGACAGAAAAATGACCAAAAAAAAAACAAAACACTAAAATGACAAATGTCAAAATTAAAGGAAATTTGGATATATAATTTTTGAAAAAAAAAATTTGACATTTCAAAAAATAAAATTCAAAAATGTAGAAATTTATGTTGAAAGTTTATGTGAATAATAATACAACCGTTTATGCAGAAGGATAAAAACAGACTGACTGATTATATATTCTTTAACTAATCACATTAATTGCAAACATTATTAACAATCACTTGTTTTTACATAAAACAAAAGACAAACATATATACATAAACATAGTAGACACAGAGCGTTTAGTATTAAACTTCAACACCCCCACTATACTAAACAACTTGTGTACTCATACCTAATTATTATTAGCTTTAAAAACTTCAAATGTTTATGTACACTTAAGCTCTTCGTGAATATATCAGCAGGCATATCATATGTCTGCACATACTTTAGACCGATCACACCATCTGTAATCGCTTCCTGATGAAATGATGTCTCACATCAATGTGTTTTGACCTTTTGTTAAAAAAACTGGATTTTATGAGAGTTTTTGCGCTGACTCGTTATCATTGTAAAAACATACACTCTCATCTATATCCGTTAATTCCATTAACAAACCTTTTAAGTATATCGCTTCTTTAGAAGCACCTGTCATTTCCATGCACTCGGTCTCTGAAAATTGTTACACGCATATGTGACATGATCGTCAAACATTTTCTTCTTTCTTTTTCTTTTAGACTTTCGTGTTTCTATAACATTCTGTTCATGATCACTGCCAGCATTTTGATTCTTTTCTTCCGTTACAGGCTGCATTTTATTAACCCCCACTAAAACACTGTTCACTACTGGTTCTATTGGGTTCTTGCTAGGCACATCTTCAATATTTTCCAGAACTTTTACTGCTCTTGATCCTTTGTGTTTGAATGGCAATCTAGTTTGCTTTCCTTTACAACCAACTATACAATTATTTATGTCTGACGTTGCCTTCTCGGATATGGTGAGTCCTTTCGCTAAGCCTTTACTCGATTTACACAAATCTGTTTTATTTATATGTCCTAACCGTCTATGCCATATATTTCCTGACTTAGGATCTGTAACTAACAAACAATTAATGTTTTTTGTCATGAGTTTATATACTCCACCTGTAAGTTCCGCCACTGCAACCAAAGTGTTATTTTTATCATAAATTTTGCATTTATTATCATTGAATACAACCCTGTTACCCTTTCTGGTAAGAGCGCTAACAGATAATAAATTTGCTGACAATTGTGGCACATAATGAGCATCCTGTACTTCAACATCATAAATTTGACCATAAACTTCTGTTCTAAGAGAAACACTGCCACAAGACACTACCTTCAATTGCATATTGTTAGCTGTCCTTACTTCCTGCACATCAGGTTTCTTGTTGTATTCTCTTAAACTGTTATTGTCATTCACAAGATGAATACTGGCTCCAGAATCAACATACCAATCTGTTTTGTTGTAACTACCAGTTGAAAAAACTTTGTTAAACTCATTTTTATCAGGCTCATTATTCACAGTATTGAAACGACATTTATTTTTATAATGACCAAGTCGTTTGCATTTAAAACACCTAATTTCCTTTTTAGTATCAAAATTATTGAGGTTTGAATCTTGGCGCTGCTTGTACCTGCCATTTTGTTTTGCTACAAAGGCGCTCTCATCATTATTAACTGCAACATCGTTGCCTATATCCAGCAGCTTCGTTTTTATTGTGTCCGTTGTAATGGCTATACCGGAATGCTCAATCGCCATAATCATCGGCGAAAACTTTTCCGGCAATCCTGCCAAGAGCAAAGAGCCTATCCACTCATCATCAATATTAAATCCTGTTCCCCTCAATCTCTGCCCTGTTTCTATTATTTGATTGACATATGAGCTCATGGATTCACAATTAATTAATCTAGTAGAAATTAATGTCCTTAAGAGATTAATCCTTCGAGTGAAACCTGAATCACTATACATCGCCTTTAATTTTGACCATAGCTGGGCTGAGGTTTTTGTTTCTTTTACATGTACATATAAACTTGTATCTAATGTTAATATCAATTTTGCTCTCGCCTTTTTATCCTTGATCACATCAATTTCCCGTGCTGCCCTGTGCTTTGGCTCTACAATGCATTCTGCTAAATCTTCTAAGATTAGAAAATTTTCTGCTGCAAACGCCCAATCGTCATATGTTTCACGTCCTTTTAACTTCGGTATATTTACCAAGTATCCCGACGACATAATGATTAAAAAAGCACTAAACTGTTATTCAATAAACTTTAAAAAACATGGGATCTGGGCCCATAACCTGTAGAATTTATGTTGAAAGTTTATGTGAATAATAATACAACCGTTTATGCAGAAGGATAAAAACAGACTGACTGATTATATATTCTTTAACTAATCACATTAATTGCAAACATTATTAACAATCACTTGTTTTTACATAAAACAAAAGACAAACATATATACATAAACATAGTAGACACAGAGCGTTTAGTATTAAACTTCAACAAAAAACATGTTCATATATAGAAATATCCAACATTTATATCCAAATTTGATGAAATGCTACCTACAAAATCACTGATTATAGTTTTAAATCTAATTAAAAATCAATGCTTACAAATTTGAATAAATGTTGACATGAAAAAAAAATTAAATGTCATCTGTCAATATTTATGAAAATAATTATATAAATAGACTTATGATTTAGATTTAATTGATTTGCTTACCAAATTATTTTGGAAACCAAAACTTCATTAAAACCTTATAGATTAGAGATCACAATAAAAAAGCGGCACTTGAATTTAAAAATAATAATAACCAAAATTTTGACATTTCACAAAAAAAGAATGTTTAACGAGTTACTTCAATAAGACGCAAATAAATTAATTATTACAAGTTCTGTTACAGAAAATATTGCCTAACAAATTATAGATACAAAACAATATTGTAAAATAAATATTTTCAAAAAATTTTGACAGAAAATGGCAAAAAAAAAACAAAACACTAAAATGACAAATGTCAAAATTCATGGAAAATTTGAGAAAAAAAGATTTATGATTTTTGAAAAACAAAAATTGACAGTTCAGAAAATATAATTCAAAAACATGTACATATATAGATATATCCAACATTTATATCCAAATTAGATGAAATGCTATATTCAAAATCACAATTTATAGTTTTAAATCTAATTAAAAGTCAATGTTTATAAATTTGAATAAATGTCGTTTAAATATATATAATATATATATATATATATATATATATATATATATGTATATCGTAGGGTTCGCCGTAGTCAAGATCGTTAACGCGATGACTTTGTATGGACAAGGTCGCGCGTTCGATTCCCCGCTCTGGCAACCTGGCATCGGGCAGCGCGATGTCCATTTTCAATTGAAGATATAGATCAAAATATGTTTCCAATTGAAAATAAGCCCATCTCGGGCACTGCGGTGTGAAATGGAAATGGGAAAAACTCTCACACTACTTCTTCCCTGAATCGAGTTGGAGTTTAACTCAGCTCACGGACCTGCCCTAGGGCAGAGCACTCATTATTATTATTATTATATATATCGTACGGATATATACGGCATCCGATTCCGACATACAAGTTGTTTTGATACGAGTTTCAGTCATTCCGAATCGTTCATATCTGTTTGTCATGTGTGATATCTTTTCAATTTCTAGATTCTCTTGGGGGCAATGCGGTTACTTTAATGATAGCTTGTGTAAGCCCAGCGGATTACAACATAGAAGAAATAATGAGCACGTTACGATATGCAAATAGAGCAAACAAAATAAAAAATAAACCAATTGTAAATAAAGAGCACAAAAATGAACTTGTACTGAAATCGAGACAAGAGGTTACAACATTTTGCACAATAATTTACTTATATATATGTATATATATATTATATATATATATATATATATATATTATATATCATTAAGAAAAATTAAGAAACTTGAAAAAATTCTAAAAGATTATTATTTATTTATATAATACATACACATTATATACATTATTATATTAATTTCAGATAAAGGATAATAATTTATTGAAAGCATTAGATTCATTAGATGATGAAACTAAGGGAGAGTTAAGCACAAGTGAAAACTCATATAATATTGGTTTACATACAATTAAAGAAAGCATAGATGAAGTGCAGGTTTGTTTTCATATTTTATATCACT